CCGCTGTGCTTGTCACAGGCAGCTGCGGCAAAAACACGGTTTGTTTATGCCAATGAGGGGGTGGCGGTTAAAGGCCCGTGCAGAGGATGGGTAGGTGGGGGGCTATAATTGCTAAGCCCAAGGTGAAGCTCAGGGCAGGAGAGATGAACAACGTGCAAGGCTCAGCATGGGTGATTTAAAGTGACAGAAATCTGTCTTAATGCAAGTACATTTTGAGTCATTAACCACTTCCAGTCCGGACACTTTTACCCCCTTCCTGACCAGGGCAATTTTCAGCGCCATCACACTTTGAATGACAATTGTGCGGTCATGCAACACTGTACCCATATGAATTTTTTACCATTTTTTTGAGACAGATAAAACTTTATTTTTGTGGTATTTATTCACCGCTGGGATTTTTATTTTTTTTTGCTATTTAAATGAAAATCTCCAAAAATTTTTGAAAAAAAGTGTTTTTCTTATAAAATTTTTAAAAATAATATTTCATCATAAATCTTGGCTAAAATTTATTCCGTTATCTTTCTAGTAAAAAAAATAAAAACAATAAGCCAAATTAGTTTATAACCAAATATAAAATTTTTTTTTTTATATCATTTTTTATTTTATTATTTATTTTTTTTTTTACATACTGTCACCCTAGTAGTACAGTGTCACCATGGTGACACTATACTACTTTTGGGGGGTGATGAAGATTTTTTTTTTTTACACCGATTTCTTATACACCCATATAGGATGTAAAAGCAATAATTTCTCTCTCTGTCTGCATTCTTGCAGCCATTGAGAACTACTGAGTGAGCTGTGATTGGTCACAGCTTGTCACATGGTACAAGGCTGTTGTGAATAGCCTTGTACCATGTGACCTCTGTGATCATTCACAGATTTCACACGTAGTAAGCAATGATGTCAGAAGTGACATCTTGCTTACTACTTTGCATGTGATCACTGATTGGCCAATCAGTGATCACATGATCGGGACCTCGTACAGAGGTCCCGTCCGACGATCGGTGTTTCACTGTGTCCGGAGGACACAGCAGGCACCGGATCGCGGTGCTGCGCCCTCCCGGGGAGTGAGCACAAGCAGGGTGCAGGGAGTCCGTTTATAAACGGTCACCTGACCCTGCAGTGCCACCGTCCGGCCATTTATATACAACGGTCGGTCGGGAAGTGGTTAATAAACATTTTGATTTGCGAAAAGCACTATAGTGTTTCCTTTTGCATCTCCCTGAGCCTGTTTTATTGACTGATCCTTGATGCTTGGTAAGATCAGCAAACATCTGTGAAGTGACAGCCATGTCCATGCTCTTAAAGGGATATGCACATAAGACCTTTCATTTGAGAGGTCAAGATAAGGTACCCATAAGAGGTGGTGGTGTTATGCCTGAACACAAAACTGAAGAATTTTTCTCTTATGGAAGTTCTTCAATACTTACATTGCTTTTTTTTGTTTTGTTTTTTAATTTTATTTAAATATTTATTAAGTTTCCAGATAAAATACATATTCCATCATTTTCTCATACAACATACAAAACCATCAATTATATCCCTTTCTATATCTATCCCCCCCCCCCCCCACCCAGCTAACATCCCCTCCCTCCCTCCTAAACCCTCCCCCCCCCCCCCCCCCCAATACCACCCACCCTTCATTTCTCTACGTCTTCCCTACACAAGTGAGAGGCACTTTCACATATCTCTCCCTACAGCTTCATATATTTCGCCTTAAGTACAAATTCTTCCCATTTTCTCCATTTCACATAGTATAACCCCATCTTGTCTTCCTGCATATAATACAATTTCTCCATCCTACAAATCTGATTCACTCCACCCAGTCCTCTTCCCTTGGCACCTCTGACCTATGCCAAAACTTGGGTATCAAACCCTTTGCCTAGATCCAATCCCATCTTCATCTCAGAAATCATCCCAATTGAATGAACTATTGTCTTCCAAAATACCTGAATTTTTGGACACTCCCACCATATGTGATATAACATGCCTATCTTTCCACACCCCCGCCAACACTCCGGTGAATTCTCCCCACTCATCTTATGTTCAACATTCGGTGAAATGTGCCATCTTATTAAACACTTGTCATTTATTTCCACCTCTCCCATACTTATATTCTCGTGAGTTAATCTATACATTTTCTTCTGTTTATCCTCTATCACAACTCCCAGATCTCTTTCCCATTTCGCTATACACAGTGGCTTTGTGTTTGTGTCTAATTAAGTGAGAATCTTATCAATTTTAGCAGTGCCGTGTTTCCCATCTCCCCGTGACTCCAACAACCTCTCAAACAGATTCCAATCCTTTCTAGATCTCAAGGGTTTCGGAAGATTCCCAACAAAGTGTTGGTGATACCTCCACTCATCTATCTTAGTGAAGATTTCTCCTTTTTTCTTTTCCAAATACTTAAATGATCTCAATTCCCGCCCCTCCATTATATCTCTCAACTGGACATCCTCCTTTTTAAACCATTTTCCTATAATCTCCTCCCTACCTGGAGGAAAAACTGTGTTCCTTAGTTGCATTAATTGTGAATTAAAATCCCACTTCATGTGTTTGTGCAATATATCCCAAACCCTTAAAACATTTAATGTATATAAACTTGTGCTATCTTTTAATCCTCTGTATTGTGCTGGTACCCATATAATTTTACTCAAGTTCGCTCCACTTAGTTCGTTTTCAACTTTAACCCAACTTTTCCCCTCTGGATTATGTGTCCAATCATGAATTCTCGCTAAAACTACTGCTCTATAATATCTCTTTAAAGTCTAGCACTCTCAATCCACCCTTCTCTTTATTTCTACTTAACAATTCATAGGATGTTCTAGGTTTTTTATTCTTCCTTATATATCTTATTTTTTTAATTGCCTTAAAGAAAACCTCTGGGAGTTTAATTGGGATCATTTGAAATTTATATAGGATTTTGGGCACAATTATCATTTTTATCAGATTTATGCGTCCTATCCAAGACGGGTTTCCTCCTCCCAATTTCTTTAGTTCCTCCTTAATCTCATTTAAGAGTGAAATGTAATTTGATTTGTACAAGTTCATATATGAAGCAGTAAGTTTTACCCCTAAATACTTTCTCTCTCTATCCTTCCATATAAAGGGGAATTCTTTTTGTATCTTTTCTTTTTCACTATTTGAGAGATTTATATTTAAAATCTCAGTTACTTACATTGCTGTTCATAAACAGCTTATTCATGGACGCCTTTCACATGGGGTAGACTCTAGATCAGCAGAGAATCTGTTCATTGACCAGAAAGATGACAGATCCGTGTCCACTTAGTTTATGCAGAGTGGACACAGACAGAGCCTGCTCTGCTCTATGGGCAGTTGGGACTCCACTGTGCCTTCTGTCCACCAATTCGATCGGCCTAGATGGAAGGGGACAGATCTCCTTCCGTTTTTTTTTTTTTTTTTTTTTGTAGCAGACTGGATTGGAGGTACGTGGGTGTAAACAGACAAGTTCCGTTTACACCCACTGGTCCGTAGCAGTGAATAAAAGGTCCAATCAGGTCTGCCTGAAAACTGACAGGTGAACCTGATCAGACTGTCATGTGAAAGGGGTCAACACACATATTGTCATGCTTTCACCAGTTCATGATACATTTGGTATTGATTATCAAAAGAAGATGGCAAATATGTATGATAAATAGCACTTGTGATTTGTGGCACATTTCAGCACAGAGTTGGTCATATTAGTGCAACATACTTTATCAGTTTACGCGTTTACTCACTTTATGTTTACAGCTCATTTATAGATTGTGTGCGATTTGTTTAATATAAGTAAGTGACACCGAATTCAGAGGTTGATAATGACTAAGGGGTTAGTAGTAAATGATACAAAGTTCATGAGTTAGTAGTAAGTGACACAGAGTTCACTAACTACTCAGAGGTCAGTGAAAAATAATGCAGTGATCAGATGTCAGTGGTATTGCAGATATCAAGGTTCAGTAATAAATCACCTACTACTAATCCTGAACAGGTGCCCCAATGTCTAATACTGGGCCCTGACCCCTCCAATATACCTCCTTTGTGTACTGCACATGCCGCATTTTATCAGAAAATTGCCACATGATTGCAGAAAATGCCCCTGCTATATACCCTGCCACTATCTATTGATCTCCCTCAAACAATCAGCCTGGAGGAAAAAAAAAAAGGTTGGGTGGAAAATACAAAAAAAAAACACAGGAAAATGATCAACAAATCTAAACTTTACAGTGTTATTAAACCCAGGACCCTGCATTCTCTTAATCTTGTTTCCCACAGTACACAGAACATGGAAATGCAATTACTTTATCAAAAATGAACTGCTAAATACCTTTTCTCATCAGCAGTTACAGCAGTCTTGTGAATTCTATCAGTGTCCAGCCGAGCACTGGTTAAAGCTTGTAGGAGGAGTTTTCTCTTTCTGCTTTAGGATGATGCAGAACCCCTGACCTATGTCTGGACAGTGCTAATTGGCTGTGCTGACCCCATGCACTCTCCCAAGAAAACAAAAAACACACCTTTCTAGCCACAGACACCAAACTGAGCAAGTGCAGAGTGTCTCCACACGATATGTCTTATCAGGAGATAAGGAGGGGGACATTAGAAGAAGGGGAGGATCAGAGTCAGGATCAAACAACATTTTTACATAACGCAGAGGATTAACCCCTTAGGTTCCACAGTGAGTATATCAAGTCTCAGTTGAGACTGAACCAGCTGATATTAATTTTCACTGACAAGGGGCAGGATTGCTAATTACTGATTTCAGCTGGTGTCTTGGCTTTCCATGCCTTTTTGCACCTCCCTTTCTTCATGTGTTCAATACTTTTTCCCTGTGTCATTCCATTTTATGACACATAACTTAATTTTTGAACCTATTTGTGGTTTAAAGTTCATGTCAATAGCTTCTTTAGAAATATATTTACTGAGAAAAATGGTTCAATACTTATTTACACACACACACACACACACACACACACACACACACACACACACACACTACTACTTACCAGAAAGTAACTTTTGTAGCGCTTTGTAGTTTCTTCTGTGTTTAAGATTTCAGCAAGTGCATTGTATAATTCATCTTGAGGTTCTACGTCAGTGCTTTCATGCTGCAAAGGAAAGAAAAAAAAAAGGAAGAAGAGAGAAATAATTTTATAGCTTATAATTTCATTTAATTCTAATTCTGCCCTACAGAGAAAATTCTAAGTGGCCAAGACAGGCATGTGAACAAATGAGCCCTAGGGAGATCACATGCAATTTATCCTTACCTCTTCTCTGAATCTCTTTTTTTTTTGGATGGAGGCTTGGAGTTGAGTAAAACAGATTTACACTGACACATAAAATTATCACACTTCCTATGGAAATAATCTGTAAAGGCAGAGAAGATAGGGTGACTGCAGCTGAGCAACAAAATGGTGGCTACTCGATTGGAGCAAAACTGCAAGTGGAGAAGGGTAATGATGACCAGGTAAACTGGAGAGATCTCTCGTACCTCAGCAAAAGAAATTACCTGCGAGACTACCACGCCTCTATCACTGAGGTGAATCTCCAGGAGGGCCATGAGGAAAGAGGAAATCATCATGACTGACAACGGTGGGCCATAGTAAGTTGAGACCATGCCAAGACACACCATCAATGTAACCGAGCACAGGGCTCCAAGCTAGCTGCTGTTGATTATGACATGCCTGAAACAGAACTGACCCTGAAAGATGTGATCTCCACCATTACTAAATGCACCACTGCTGTGAATCAACTCTAAATTCAAACTGGGAGTGGAAACAGTGACTTGTGGCAAGATCTGTAGAAAATAAGAGAAAGGACTGTGGTCACAGAGTAGAGAGTAGGTGAGGTGGAGGACATGGATGGATCTCTAAATAATACAAGCGACAGTAACATTTTTTTCACTTTTATTTTCAAAACAAACATGCCATACTTACCTGCCTGATCATCCTCTTCTCTGGTCCCTCACCGGAGCTCCTAACTTCTTTGTCCTCCCTGAGTGCTCCATAGCAAGTCCATAGCAAGCCACTTGGGGCACTCATGCCTGCTCACTCCTGAGCCCCCTCCTTACTGCCTGTGATTGACAGCCACGGGAGCCAATGGTTCCTGCGGCTGACTCTGAGCCAATGAGGAAGGAGAGAGCCGCTGCACCTGTGCAAATCGCTGGGTCGAGATCGGGCTCAGGCAAGTATAAGGAGGGCGACCGGAGGGAGCTGCATGTATGTTTTTTTACCCTAAAGTATAGAAGGCATTAAGGTAAAAAAAAAAAAAAAAAAACACTCTGCCATTACAACCCCTTTAACCGTTTGCCCACCGACCCATAGCAGATGTACTGCTACAGGGCGGCTTTGCTGTGCAAAATCACGTAAATATATGTGATTTTGCCATTGGCTCCTGAGGATGTCAATCACTAGGTCCAGGCCAGTTGACAGTGGCAGTTATTCAGTTTCTACCCAGTGTCAGAATGTCCGCCGCAGTCCCGCTGATTGCCGTCATTACCGCCGTATAGGTAAAAAAAAAAAAATTCCAGTACATACACACCACCATTTGTAGATGCTATAACTTTCATGTAAACCAATTAATATACACTTATTGGGATTTTTGTTAAGCAAAGACATGTAGATGAATACATTTTGGCCTAAATTTATGAAGAATTTTTTTATTGGATAGGTTTATAGCAAAAAGCCAAAAATAGGTGATCAAATACCACCAAAAGAAAACTATTTGTGGGGAAAAAAAAAGGACTTAAATTTTATTTATGTATAGCGTTGCATGACACCCCCCATCGATCCCCAATAACCCTGCCGCTATAATTTTCCACTGTGGTGGGTGTTAATAGAGCCGACACAGCTGTGACAAGCACACATCAAGAGTGCCTAGCTATGTCTACCCTTTCTGCCCAGCTTCTTCTTTCACAGAAGCTGTACTATCTCTTCTATGAGCGTATGTATGGTGAACAAGCTAGGACTTAATCATTGAGTGGATCAGTGGATTTGCAGTTATTTGAAGAACAGAGATCAGAGTGGTTGTAAATGGGGTTCAGAGATAAGTCAGTGTTGTACTACAAGGCTCTGTACTAGGTCCTCTTCTATTTAATCAGTTTGTAAATTATATAAAGGTTTAGTGGGCAAGGTATGTTTTTTTGCTGATGACACAAAGGTGTGCAATAGGGCTGATCTAACTGGAAGCTTCTGTAGCATGGCACATGATTTGACATTGCTGGAAGATTGGTCAAAGCAGCGGAAAATGCAGCTCAATGTTTCTAACAGTAAAATAATGTACCTAGGGAAAAAGAATCCCTTGACAGAGTACAATTTTGAGAGTAGTGTTGGATAGAACTACAACAGAATAAGATTTGCGGGTGTCTGTTTCAGAGGATTGTGAACAGAATTCTAGGATGCATCGCTAGAGGGATCACTAGCAGGAGAAAGCCAGACAGTGCAGCTAAAAGGGTGACACCAATTTCTGTTGGATAAATACACTGGCATCACCTGTAGCCTGGTGAATGGACAATAAAAGGAGCAGCAACACACTGAAAAGTCGCAAACTAAGCTCACTCTGCTCTCACCACCAATCAGCACATGCAGCAGAGCCCAATTCGCTCCTAGTGCTCCCACTCTCCCACTTGAGTTACTGCTGTGTACAGAAAAGGAGGAGGTTGATATCTTGACAGAATTGGGGGCTTATGTTTCATAAAAAAAAAAAAAAAAAAAAAAAAAAAAAAAAAGATTTTAAAGAATACACAACTTCTTTAATTAATGGTGCTTTAATATCTGCCTGGACTTCAGCTTTAAAAACACTCCAAATGCTCCTGGAAGCCAGAGCAATTTGATTTTGGCCCAGCTAGGCCAATGGAGAGTTGAGATACTTTTTATTTAACATTTGGTAATGCTGACATGTGCCTTATAGATTCTAGTATGCATTTTAGGGATAGGTCCACTTTACCAATCACATTTATAATCAGTTAGTGAAAAATGTCAAAGACCCCATATTGTCAATGCAGAGGTTTTAAATCCAATACCAACTGATTTTTTTGGTCAATATATAGAAATAAAAAAAAAAAAAAAAAAACACCTTGAAAAACATATATCATTAAAGATGAAGGAGAGGAAATTCATAGTACTAAGGCTGGCCATAGAGAAGCAAGTTTTTTTCCCCATCCACACATTCGAGGTGGATGGGGGAATCTTCCCCACTGTGTCTTTGAATTCTGACAGTGCAGAGACTTCCCTGCCACCAGAATACACAGGTCTGCACTACAGCCTATAGTGCTGATCGAGTGGAAATTTTCCAACAGGGTGGTTGAACAGAAGTCGATAGGTAGAGTGACTTCTGTTCAACCACAGTGGCCATCCATGGATTGAAATTTGTCAGGTTTAGCAGAATCAGTCCCTGCTGACCTGGCCAACTTTTGATCCATGTATGCCCAGCTTAAGTCATAAATTAGGCTCATAGTAAATACAGTAGGAAACAATTTTTCCGGTAGAGATTTAGGACCCACAGGTGTTGCCATGCACTGCCAAAAATGCTGCATGCAAGTTTATTAGGCTGCCTTAACACGCATGGAGGAATGCAGGCTGTCGGAAATGACCATTCTTGACTTCCTCCTGCTGAAAAACTGAACCCAAAAGTGCTAAGCTCCAGGTCAAAGCCGTCAAACTCCCAGCACAGATGATGGGTTTAGAAACAGATTGGGGCTTTCTGTCCTGATCTGCGTCGGCTAGTGATATCAGGGGTCTAATAGATAAATAGATATCATTTTATGGCTTTTGTTTTAGTTCAACTCTAAATTGATGGGATGTAAAAAGGTTTACTGTATACACCTATTTGAAATTTTGGGTATCTTAATTTTTTCACAGATTCATAAACACACAAAATTTTTTAACATAGAAATAGTTGTCATTTATCAAAAACTGATACAGTCTCATCTTTTCTATTTAAAAAGAAGAACTTTACCCATATCAGCTTGATATAAAAATACTGTTCATTAGCATGAAACCCACATTCCACATGAATAAATATGCTACCAAAATTAGTGTGATGTGTAAATTGCCTCCAGCATTGTTCCGGTTTCTTCTTGCTGGAGAATGCCATTTTGTTGAAGCCCAGAGACCCGAGCAGCATTAAATCTTAAGGCTGTGAGCAGATCGACCTCTACAAATTTGGCACAGCGCCTAAAAATAGAGAGCAACTGAGAATGTGCAGTGTGACAGTGTAATACTGGATTTTAAACTGTATAGGCACTCGCTGTATTTGTGTGTTACATTATACCTGTAAAAGGGGCCAGCATGGAGTGATCTAGCAGGACTTACATTTTCTGACTAAAGTTCCACTTTAATTTGTTTTCAATGGCCCGGCTGAACATTTATGTTATTCCAGTTCAGTTCGGAAATTACAGCCATTATAGTGGAATGGAAGGTATCCATATATTCAAACAATGAAAAAGAAAAGTGTGTACATCTTGTGCAATAAAATTGGTAATTCAATCTTGCAAAACCCACATTACTGGTTTGTAAAGATGATGCAGCTACTACTGCCAGAATGCTAATCAAGTTTTCGACCTTGGGGAATTCCTAAAGATTTGGCAAGCAAAGAAAGGTTTTCAACCTACATGTAAAGCGAAGCAAGGGAAGGCTTTTTCAGAATATATCAACAAATATGTTCCTTACCAGACACAGTCTATTGGCATTGAAAAACAAATGAACAGAATAATAAAGTATCTACCTATAAAATGTTGGTTTAAAAGGGATCATATTATGGTTTTGTACACATGTTCTTTTGTATGACAGACCTATATAATAAAAACTGCATATTTTGTATTTCTCAAGATTATATCCTGAAGGTTGAGCTACTAGATCCTTTGATACAAACAAAGCTTCCAGTTAGTCAGTATCTGCTGTACTGACTCTTCAAATGACATATTGCTCTTTAACAATTTATTAGGTGTTTATATGCAAAAAAAGATTGTACATATGAAAAGGAAAAATATAAAAATAAATCAGAAAAAAAAACCACAGCATTAAACTTTTCCTTTATACTAGAAACACACAGGAGGAGGTTTATAAAACTGGTGCCCACAGAATCTGATGCAGCTGTACATGATAACCAATATAACCTAGAAGCCTGATCTCCCCTAATGGTTAAAGCTGAATAGTTTTCCTTACTGAGGAACAAAACTACATCTTTTTCCACACAATTATACACACACATTCTTAATTTAAGATTTAGAGCTATGAATCTAAATAATTTTGCCAACTTCCCACCTACAGAAAGGAGCCCATCTGCTGTATGTTTAAGCATGTGTAAATACTGATTTAGTGACAGGGACCAATACAACGTTAAAAGTTTACAAAAAGAAAGAACAGGAAGGAGCAAACACCTAGTGTATTACCAGTGTAAAATCCAATAAGTGCCAAGTGCATACTCACAAAAGTAGAAGAGAACAGGACATTTTAAACACAAATCACCACAGTGTGGAAACCACGTATAACCATGCAACCCTGCCGAGCTAGCCTACTGATGCGTTATGGGGGCGCACCCCTTTCTTCAGAGCGAAGGCACTTATTGGATTTTATTTCAGTAAATAGCTGGTAATGCACTAGGTGTTTGCGTCTTCCTGTTCTGTATTTTGTAGTTGCTACGGGGTTTTCCTATCAGAGGAGGGCCGCACCAGCTAGGCATTTCTGTTGGAACCGTGGCCATTCAGTTCTGACCCTCTTTTTTTGCAGTGACTACATCGTTGGGAGTGACTGTTTGTGTAAAGTTAAATGTTTACTGTGTTCGGGAAGCTGTCGGTCTGGATTACTATTTCTTCCAGCTCTAAGAGGCAGTAAGAGGAGTATTCTATAAAGCTTGGCTTTTATCTTAATAAAAGAATAGTTGCTGGTGGGAGCAACCACAGAACATGGCAGGCAACACAGGCATCCTGCAAACCAGAAGTATGTCAGATGTGAAGACCCTTTGAGAAGCTTTGCATGGCAAAAGAGCAAAAATTCTATATACATAAAACAGTTAATGCAAGATTCAGGTGCAGTAACTTATATTTTCAGCAGGAATCACCTTTTTTATCAACTCCAACAAGAACAATCTTCTGTATTGTAAAGAAGGAGGGTATCTTTGGCACAAAGGATGATTAACAGTCTAGAAAAAAAAAATAAATTTAGAACAATTTACAGCATATTCATTGTAAAGCACATAGGGCATGATGTAGCAATGAAATTAAAATAAAATTAACTTTCCTCACCCACAAATTAGATTAGTGGTAACTTTTAGGAAACTGTAGTTCTTATATGAAAACTGACACACGAAACACTAAAAGGCCCACAAAAATATAACAGAGGACTGCTTGAACAACCTTATTCCCCAAACTGGCAACAGATGAGGCTAGAACATCCACCTGATTAAACTTGGAGAATGTATGAACTGAAGACCAGGTGGCAGCCTTGAAAAACCGGGAAACAATAGCTTGATGTTAAAAGGTCAAGAAGCACTAACAGACCAGTAGAGATAAGTTCACCTTTGGGAACATGTTACATGTTCCACCGGTTTGTAGGGTGGAACATGTAACATGTTCCCATAGCGGCAGCAGATGCCCGCTGACCCCCCTCCCTTTGACAGACAGTACGGGGAGAAGTCTCTCCATACTGTCAAATTTGAGAACAGCGCGGCCGTGCGGGGCTCCGGCCAGACGGCCGCATCATTTATTCACGGAATTAATGAACTACAAGCTGCCAGCTGCTGTGGTAGTTCATTGAAGCTTCTTGTCAGAATATCTGCTTGCACGAGACCTGCATGGCATCAGAGATCTACTGATTGCTGGTGCAATGCTTTCCAGGGACCCGTAGACAAAAAATAATAAATGCACATATTTGTACCTACAAAAAAATTTGCATTTATTATTTTTGTCTAAAAGGTGAACTTGTCCTTTAAGTCCTTACCACAGAGAAAATGGAGTGGAGAACCAGATTTCCTTTTACAGGGCCCATCAGGAGTGACAAAGAGAGGATCAATTTTTTTTCAGATTCATGATTTTTCATGATTTAAAAAGTAGGTCAGGATTCTAAAACAAAAAACAAAACAAAAAAGAAAAAAAAAAAAAAAACACCACACACAAAACATTTATAATCACCTAGATGGCTGCAGCATCAGTCCGATGCTTTACCCTTCCAGCACTCACTGGAGCACTGGGCTGTGGGGGGGGGCAGGAGTGGCTGACTCAAGCTGTCAGCAGTTTGCTGAGCCAGCTGCTGGTCCAGCATCTGGGTAGATTCCGATCTTTCCACATCCTGGACTGGCTCTGTGACGTCAGCGGGATGAAATCAGGTCACAGAACGAAGACCTTTTGTTCTAATTCTTCATTGAGGAAATAGAGGGAAATCTCCTTCTGATTAACTGGAAGCAGACAAAGGAATGCAGGGACAGTGTCCTGGTTGATGCAGAAGGCCGAAACTACCTTAGGAAGGAAGAAAGCTCTAGACCTCAACACACCTTGTCCATGTGTAAGACCATATGGGAGTTCTTTACAGAATAAAGCTGCCAACTTAGATATTCACCTTCAGAGGTGTTGGAAACAAGGAAAATAAAAACGTGAGTGAGTAGAATGGGGAATAGGCAATTTTTTAAGTGCTCTGAGAACCAAAATTAAGATCCCAGAGCTATATGGAACATACTTGGGTAGCCATATGAGAAACACCCTGTACAATAGTCTACATCAAAGAATTGGAAGCTAGCTATCTTTTGAGAAAGATTGTAAGTGCTGAGATCTAGCCCTTGATTGTGTTCAAGGCTAAATGCTGATTCAGGCCCATTTGCAGAGATTTTCCTTGTTTCTCATCAAGGGAAGTATGCCTTCCATGTCTGATGAGCCTGTAGCATCACAGAAAACACCGATTCAGATATGCTTCTATCCTTCAACACCTGGGCAACAACAGAGAGAGCAGAGCAAAAAAGGTTAAATTATTCTGAGCAGAACAGAGCAAAGACAGCCATCCTCCTCGACTGAAGCATGCTGGAAGTAGGGGGGGGGGGGGGGGGGGGGGTTTACAGAGCTGGCCACTCTTTTTTTTCTTGTTTTTCAGTGCCCAGATCCTCATAAGGGTGACAGTATGACCCAACAATGTTTGAATTCTCATGTTCCTCAGCAAGCAAAAAAAACGAAATCTGAGTGCAAAGTTAATCTCAACTGTTTACCTTTTCTAAGATATTCAAAATCAAAGATGGTTGCTGCATCGACTGTTGCTCCAGATCCTGGGAAAAAAAATATTTCTAAACCAATCCATTTACTTTAAATTATGGACAGATTTTGTTTATACAGTTTTAAACCTTTTTTTTTTGGCACAAACAAGATTATTTCACTGTAGTGTTATGTTCTTTGTATTCCTTCTGGATTTTTAAAATGCAAATAAACTTTTTGATATCACTAAACAGAATTCTGTAAGGACTCTTTAAATACCTTTGATTACCATTCAGTACAGTGTGCCATAGACTGACAGGCCTCCCAGGCACACTAAAAGCCAGGATTGGGTGCACAGGAGCTAGCCACCTACTGTGTAACAGTACTAAGCCTTCAGTCCACTGTAACAACTTCTTGACAAACAAATTTATTATTTAGTTTCATTCAGTAACATTGTAACAAGACTTTGCAGTGACTCCTGCTGGTTGGAAAATTATTTTTTTGTTAAAGTGATTTAAAAAAACAAAAAAAAAAAAAAAAAAAAAAAATTACAAATATGGCTTTACAAAAAAAAAAAAAAAAAAAAAAAAAAAACTTACCTGCTCTGTGCAATGGTTTTGCACAGAGCAGCCCGGATAAGGGGGTATTTGAGCAGTACTATTTTTAAGGGTTGGAATTAGTCCACAATATAATTAAACTGGGATCACCCTGGTACTGCCACATGTAGTGGGTTATCCACTTCAAAAATACATCACAGAACCAAGGAAAAAGCTGGTTAAATACTACGTGAAGTATTCAATAGCCTACAAGTGCAAAGCCACCTGAACTCATCCTATAAGTTTGTACAAACCTGTTGTGTCTAACACGTGGCCTGATAACCTTTTCTTACATTTTAATTGTATTGGTGCTGGGATGCGGCTGGCAGCTTCCACTGTGTCTAGTCACTGTGTAGGCCAGTCCTTACCGTCACACTGGCAGCTGAGTTCTGGCCATATTCCAGGGGCAGAGTTCAAATGTAATAAGAAGGCTGCCAATCCAGGCTCTGCGCTCCCAACTGTGGGGGAAGTTGGCCTCGTATACAGCCCTGGTTACATGGACGGTCAGGAGATGACCTGCCTGTGTAGGCACCTGCAGAGTCTGTCAGGCCTGCAGCTGCCCTTCTGGAAATAGCTTGAAAGTTAAAAGAAAATAAGATGACAGTGAAAGTGAATTTCTCTACAATTATGCATAAGGGCCCCTTCACATCTTTGTAGCACATTACCACATGCACGTTAGCATGGGTTGCACTTATGAGGATGATTCATTTTAAAACAGGTTGGCAGCACAACTCTAAAAACTGCACAGGATTTACAGCAACACACTTCTTGTACATTGTGGAGTGCTGCAAGGAAGGTGCATTGTCCAACACTGGAAAGATGCACTTGGGGGCATTCATAATTAATGGTACTGCAATGCACACACAGCATTGCATGCATTATGGCAGGGGTGGGCAACTGCGGCCCTCCAGCTGTTGGTGAACTACAAGTCCCAGCATGCCTCTGCCTTTGGGAGTCATGCTTGTAACTGCCAGTTTTGCAATGCCTCATGGGACTTGTAGACCTATAACAGCTGGAGGGCCACAGTTGCCCACCCCTGCATTATGGTAAAATGTGTTTTACCACATGATAAAGTAACGTAACGATGTCTCGATTGGAAGATTTCTCCTCTATTACTGTCCTGGTGACAACTGGAAAAGTCTGCATTACACATCACTTTCTAAGTAACAATCTTGACAAAAGGAGAAAACATTTTGACTTTAGACACAATTTATTTTTTTAGTGCCACAACTACACAATGCACCAGTTAATTTTGCAGGGGCAACATAATCACTTACTTGCCATGGCAAAGAACCAATCTGCCTGCAGCAGAAAAAGGAGCGTTGGAATGCATCAGACAAGGTATTCTCTGTAATGTCCATACAGATATACCTAGGTAAACATAAATGGAAAACGTTAGATATCAGTGGGACACACCATATTTATGGAAATCATTAAAGTGGTTGTAAAGGTGCAAGGTTTTTTACCTTCATGCATTCTTTGCATGAAGGTAAAAAAAACACTTTGTGCAGCAGCCAGCCCCCCTCCCCCCATTACTTACCTGAGCCCTGTTGCAATCCAACGATGTGAACGAGAGCCTTGGCCCTACTGGAACTCTCCCTTCTTATTAGCTGAGAAAGCAAGAGTCATTGACTCCTGCTGCTGTCAATCACAGCCAGTGAGTCAATGAGAAGAGAGAAGAGGCAGGGCAATGGACACACAGGGCAACAGTCTGGGAGTGGGCCTGCTGGGGTGCCCCCATAGCAAGCGGCTTGCTATAGGGGCACTCAGCAGAGAGGGCCGAGGAGGATTGGGGCTACTCTGTACAAAATCATTACACAGTGCAGGTAAGTATGATATGTTTGTTTTGTTTTTTTGGGTTTGTTTGTTTTAATACCTTTAATATTACTTTACCCACTTGCCCTTCAGAGGATTTACCCCCTTTCCTGACCAGTACATTTTTGCAATACCCCGCTGTGTTACTTTAAATGACAATTGCGCGGTCATGCAACGCTGCACCTAAATTAAATTTATGTCCTTTTCCCCCACAAATAGAGCTTTCTTTCAGTAGTATTTGATAGCTTGTGCGTTTATTTTTTTACTATATAAAAAAAAAAAAAGACCGACAATTTTGAAAAAAACAAACAATATTTTTTACTTTTTGCTATAAAACATATCTAGTAAAAAAAAAAAAAAACTAAAAATCAAATTTCAGCATAAATTTAGGCCAAAATGTATTCAGCCACATCTCTTTGCTAAAAAAAAATCCCAATAAGTGTAAAATTAATTGGTTTCCGTGAAAGTTATAGCGTCTACAAATGGCAGTATAGATACTGGATTTTTTTCTTTTTTTTTTTTTTTATATACAGTACTAGCAATGGCGGCGATCAGTGACTTATAGCAAGACTGCGGTGGGCATTCTGACACGGGGGGGGGGGGGGACTGACTAACTGCCACTGACATCTCAATGACACTAATACAGCGATCAGTGCTAACAAAACACACTGACACTGTACTAATGACACTGGGCAGGAAGGGGTTAACTGCCTCCTGACCGCCCTATAGCAGAACTACTGCTACAGGGTGGCAGGGCTACACAGAATCACATACATACACACACACACACACACACACACACATACATATATATATATATATATATATACACATACACACACACACACATATATTTTGCATTTCTGGATAGGAGCATGCGCGCCGCCCTACCCGCCCTGCCATTGGTGGCTACAGATGTCGATCACCAAGTCCCAGCCGGAGATTCCCCACTGACACCCGGTGATTGCCAAGGAACAGTGACAGGGGAGAGACCTGTGTGTAAACACGTCTCTCACATGTGGTATCCCCATACTCAGTAGAAGTAGCAGAATGTATTTTGGGGTGTAATTCCACATATACCCATGGCTTGTTTGAGAAATATATAATTTAAATGACAACTTTGTGTGTAAAAAAAAAAAGTTTGTCATTTTCCAAAAACAAAATCTTCCATGGACTCAATATGCCTCTCAGCAAATGTCATAGGGTGTCTCCTTTCTGAAAAGGGGTCATTTGGGGGTGTTTGCATTGTCCTGGTATTTTAGCACCTCAAGAAATGTGATGGGCAGTCAGAAAGTAAAAGCTGTGTAAATTCCATTATCTATACCATAGTTTGTAGATGCTATAACTTTCACACAAAGCAATCAATATACACTTATTGGGATTTTTTTTTAACCAAAAACATGGAGCAGAATACATTGTGGCCTAAAGTTATGGCGAAATTTAGAGTTTTTTGTGTTATGGCGCTGCGTTACTTTAACTGATAATTGTGCGGTCATGCAATGCTGCACCCAAATTAAATGTACATCCTTTTTTCCAATGAATTGAGATTTCTTTCTGTGGCATTTGATCGCCTGTGCGTTTATTAATTTTTGTGTTGTAAAAAAAAAATTAAAAGACCAACAAATTTTGAGAAAAAAAAACTATATTTTGGACTTTTTGCTCCTTAACGTGTCCAGTAAAAAAATTTAAAAATCTAATTTTGTCATAATTTTAGGCCACAATGTATTCTGTGACATGTCTTTGCTAAAAAAAAAAATCCCAATACGTGTAAATTAATTGGTTTACACAAAAGCTATAGTGTTTACAAATGGCGGTATAGATACTGGATTCTTTTTTTTTCTATACTAAAAATGGCGGCGATCGGCAACTTATAGCTGGACTGCGCCGGGCATTCTGACACTGGGTGAAACTGACTTGGTGTCACTGACATCCCCAGTGACACAAATACAGTGATCAGTGCTAAAAAAAAAAAACCCAAAACACTGACACTGTACTAATGGCACTGGGCAGGAATGGGTTAACATGATGGGCAATCAAAGGGTTAACTGTGTGCAGGGAGTGTTTTACTAGGGGGCAGGGGGGTGTGTGCTTTACTGTAAGCACACTATTCGGGATGGCTGTGTCAGCCATCCCAAGCAGTGTGCCCAAACTGACAGGGAGGAGGGCTGTTGGTAAACAATGCAGCACTCCTCCCTGTCGGTGATCGCTGGTGAGTAATCACTGGCTGGTACCCAATGATTGACACCTGAGGCCACGATCGGCAGCGCAGGTAGGGTGCGCGCCCCCCTACCCAGAAATGCAAAATCACATGTATATGTGAATCCTGCGCACAGGGGCCGCCCTGTAGCAGTAAATCTACTATAGGGTGGTCTTTAAGCGGTTAAAGATATTAACTGGCTTCTCATGACCCTGTGTTCTTCCATCTTCAATGTGGGCATCTGAAGCCCCGCCGCACTTTCTTCCAGAATATGGTGCAGCTGGCTACCCAGCATGCACCTCCTGATCTTGCGCCTGTGCAGCGTGAAGAAAGCGCGGCGCACTCATTGCAGAGTGGGGGATGCCCATTGACTTCTGAAACATACATCCCAGGAACCAACAGGCAGGAGGATGTGAAGTACCTCACAGCGGAAGTGCAGTGCTTCAAGTAGCCTAAAGGTATGAAAACTTTAAGAGAAAAAAACATGTGGCAAACATTGATGGGACAGCAGGAAACAATACATGGGGCCAAACGTTAAACATCGAGTGGAAGTCCACTGTGAGGTGTAACATGTGATGTAGCACGCTGTATGTACTGTGGAAGCGAACAAGGCTCATTACCGGCGTTTGTTCCTCACCTCTCGGGATGTTCGCTCTTCTGCTCAGTGACACCAACAAGCTTCCATGTGGAACAGACAGCACCACACTTCGCCCCGCCCCCTCGCTCTGCAGTAGGCGCTACACACCGGCAGCACATAAAAGCAGACTTGTGATTGGATATGACGTTTCCAAGGCCGTCCCTCTCTGTAGCGTGGTCAGGTGATCGGCGGTGGGCGTGCCCTAAGAGAAGGAAGAGGAGGCCGTGTTGTATCCGCGGACTGCGGCCTGATGTAGTAAAAGGTGTAAGCAGATGGACGCGATCTGCTTGTTTTCTAACCATAGTTCTGTCTGACTGCGTGCAGAATAAATGTACAGATCAGCACTGAGAGACTACACCTATATAGATACACGTTATTGCAGCGTGTCTGCCTTCTCTGGAGGAACAGGGACTGGAAGCACATGTAGATAAGGACTCCACATGGACTGTGACAAATCACCAGCAGGAGATTTTATAGCACTGCTAAGTTTTTTTACCCCCTTGCTGTCCTCATCATATGGCCCTCCAAGGGCTGGTAATGTGAGGAGGTGGAGGAATCCAGATTCTGTGAATGGCTGCCACAGCGTCTGATTGCAAACAGTGTCCGGGAGCTGTCAGTGTCATCATCATTAAGGATTCTAATGTGCAGTGACTGGGCGTTAAGGCTCGTATTTATTTCATGTACTTACATAGCGCTGTCACATACTAGGGCCAATTTAGACCAGCCAGCCTAGCATGTCTTTGGAGTGTGGGAGGAAACCAGAGTACCCAGAGGAAACCCACACAGAGAACATGCAAACTCCATGTAGGTAGTGCTGTGGTTGGGATCTGAACTAATGACCATAGTGTCGCCAGGCGGAAGTGCTAACTACTTATCCACTGTGGGCTCTTCCACCCTGCTGCTGCACAAATGTGTTGCATAGTTAGCAAGAGATTAAAATGGAACTAAACCCTCCTATTCTCTACAGCCAAGGAAGCTGCCATCTTTGCCTCTGTTTAAAGCGGAGCTCCACCCAAAAGGGGAAGTTCCGCTTTAAGAACTGCTCCCCCGCTCCCCATTAAGGATTGGCACCTTTGGGGTACCTGAATTTGATAGGTAGCCACTCCCACTTCCGGTCTGATCACCACGGCGATCGAAAACGGAAGGTGTCCTCCCTCCCTGTAGTCTTTTGGGACACGTGACAGCTCCCAGAAGACTACAGGACCATTCATGATGCGCAGCGCTACTCACGCATGTGCAGTGGGTACCCGGCTGTGAAGCCACAAGCTATATCACAGCTGGGTGCCCACACTGAAGATGCCGGCCACCTGGAATACAGGAAAGCTGGTGAAATGAGCTGCGGGGGACACACCACGGGACCAAGGGACAGGTAAGTTACTGTTATTTAAAAGTCAGTAGCTACAGTTTTTGTAGCTGCTGACTTTTATTTTTTGATAGGTCGAGTGGAACTCCGCTTTAATTTGCCATTGTCATGGTTTTGCACATATGATCAGTTATGACACCAACCATTTGATGGCAGACAGTTCAGTTGAGAGCGCAAGAAAATGTGACAGTTATCATTCGAGACATGCCATGAGTGTATCTGTTTGGGGTAATGGTTAAAGCGAAACTAAAACCCTCCTATTCCTTAAAGCCAAGGAAGCTGCCATCTTAGCCTCAGTTTGATCTGCAACTGCCATGGTGCTGCACATGTGATCAGTTATGATTGTAGCCATTTGATGGTTTGACAGTTTGGTTGAGGACACAAGCAAATGTGACAGTTGGCATTCTGGGAATGCAACTGTGTTTTGAAACCGTTAAATTGATGGGTTTAGCTCTGTTGTAAAGCAGAACTAAACCCACCAATTTAAAGTGGAAATAAACCTGTTGATTTAACAGTTTCAAAAAAGTTACATTCCTGACACATGCAAGGAATGTAACTGTCACATTGGTTGTGCTCTCAATCAAACAGTCAAACCTTCAAATGGCTGGTGTCATAACTGATCACGTGATGTATCATGGCAGTTAAAGATCAGATAGAGTCTAAGATGGCAGCTTCCTTGGCTAAAAATGATAGGAGGGTTTAGTTCCACTTTAACTATTTCCCAAAATAGTTTAATTCATGGCATGTTCTGAATGATAACAGTTACATTTGTTTGTGCTCTCAACCCAATTGTCAAGCCATCAAATGGCTGGTGTCATAACTCATAAATGATCACGTGCAGCACCATGGCAACTGCAGATCAAAAAGAGACCACGATTCCTTGACTGTAAAAGACAGGAGGGTTTAATTCCACTTTAACAGTTTCCCAAAACAGTTACAATCAAGGCACGTCATGCGTTTCAACTGTTGCAGTTACTAGTGTGCTTACATTATCTCACAACTAAACTGTCAAATGTCTGATGTCATATCTGATCATGTGCAGCACCATGGCAAGAGCTCCCTCAGAGGATGAGGGAAGCTTCCTTGGCTGGATTGAGTTTAGTTTAGCTTTAAGAGCTTGTGCCAATGACTTTAGTTTGCATCAGATGTTTTTTGCATCCTCATACATGACTACAGAAATGCAAAACCTGCTAAAAGCAGTTCAGAATAGGCTCAACTGCAGGTCAAATGGACTTATCAATGAATTCTGAAGGATATCAGAAGTCTCCTAAATTATGTCATCGACAAAACTTTAAAGTTCATATAGACATATACTGACATGTTAAAATAGCACATAATGCAGATACAATGGATATAAATCCTTCTGCGCTGCCAGTACCCCTAAAGTGCAAGAGTTGCAGCAAGCACCCAAGCGTGATCCAAACAGTGTAAGCACATACTGTATAATAGCAATTGAAGCTGTGCTACTCAAAATCTCCAGCAGAAATAATATACCCCACAAAGCATTAAATGCAATCAAAAAGGTTATCAAAAAAGTGTAAAGCACACATAAAAATATGACCAGAATATAATAAGCGAATAAATGTTCATAAATGATTAGATGCAGTGACTTAGAAATAAGTAGTGACCAATATTCATGTGAAAACATAAATATTGTGAATACATAAATATAATGTAAATAAACATCAAATATATATATAAATTGTGAAAAAATAAAGTGCCAAATCCCGATCAGTGTATATTACACTATATTATAGGTTGTCCTTTCCTTTATATGTTATTTTTTCATTTAGCCATCTGCAATTATCTTTTTTATCATAATTTATCCTTGATGGTTGCTACTGCTTGCTAATTAGTTTTAATGGTTTCTTTATGGGGTGGTTCCCCTTTTTATTTAGAGGGATTTTCATCAGCCTAGTTGTTACTTTTATATATATATCTCCTAGATTGTAAGCTTGAAAGAGCAGGGCCCTCGATCCCCTCATGTTTTGCATTGTATTGGTATTGTTCTGTCACATGTTCTGTCCCCCTTTGTAATGTACAGCGCTGAGCGAACCATTGGCGATTTATAAATACTGTATAATAAAAATAATAATAATAATAATTTCTGTCCAGCATTGGCTGGTGTTCTGCTGTATGGCCCACCGGATCAGGTGGTTCTCTCTGGTAATGGCCACTTTTGTTTATATAAGTATAGGGCTTATGTGTATTTATTGCTATTTCCCTCATTTTATTATGGTTTAATGTTACATTTATTATTGTCCTATTTTATATTTATATATTTCATATATGTTCTTTTCTTTGTGGAGCTGCGATATTATGTTATGATTTAAGTCTTTCTGGTTGAACTTCAATAAAATGGTCACTGTGCTCCGTTCCCCAATTGAGTTCAGGTGTGGGCTCTACATAAATGGAGTTACCAATCACCACCTTCCTAGCCCTGATGAAGTCACGTGATTCATGATGTAACGCGTAGGATGGAAGCGTGGTGACGTAATTTCCAGTATGGATGGCAGCCGCCATCTTGCTATACCCAGTTTAGTATACCCATATCTGCTATTTTCCCCTACATGCCTATATGGGTCTGTGGACCCATTTTTTTTTATGTGTGTAAGCACTCTGCATTTTAATTTAATACATTTGTGAAACATATTGCACTATGGGAAGTCCCTTGTGATTTATTCTTCCATGTGTGGCCCATGTGAGAGGAGTCTTTTGGTGCATCACGGAGGGGACATCTCAGGTATTACTGCTGAGTGCGTTTATTTGGAGCGTGCGTAGCCTGTACCTGAGTTGGTGTTTCATCCAGTTAAAGAGGATTTCCCTGACACTTTATCGAGGGGATATGCAAGGATACCATCGCTGAGCATATCTATTTAAAGTGTGTATGACCCTTTCTGGGTCATGGCTGGAGGTGAGCGTGCACGCTAGCTGGTGGAGGATGATTGCAGTAGTCACTGATTGATTCACATTTTATTGAAGATATATACACTAATTGGGACTTGGCACTTTATTTTTCACAATTTATATATATTTGATGTTTATTTACATTATATTTACAGTCAGGTCCATAAATATTGGGACATCGACACAATTCTAACATTTTTGGCTCTATACACCACCACAATGAATTTGAAATGAAACGAACAAGATGTGCTTTAACTGCAGACTGTCGGCTTTAATTTGAGGGTATTTACATCCAAATCAGGTGAACGGTGTAGGAATTACAACAGTTTGCATATGTGCCTCCCACTTGTTAGGGGGCCAAAAGTAATGGGGCAATTGGCTTCTCAGCTGTTCCATGGCCAGGTGTGTGTTATTCCCTCATTATCCCAATTACAATAAGCAGATAAAAGGTCCAGAGTTCATTTCAAGTGTGCTATTTGCATTTGGAATCTGTTGCTGTCAACTCTCAAGATGAGATCCAAAGAGCTGTCACTATCAGTGAAGCAAGCCATCATTAGGCTGAAAAAACAAAACAAACCCATCAAAGAGATAGCAAAAACATTAGGCGTGGCCAAAACAACTGTTTGGAACATTCTTAAAAAGAAGGAACGCACCGGTGAGTTCAGAAACACCAAAAGAATCGGAGACCATGGAAAACAACTGTGGTGGATGACTGAAGAATTCTTTCCCTGGTGAAGAAAACACCCTTCACAACAGTTGGCCAGATCAAGAACACTCTCCAGGAGGTAGGTGTATGTGTGTCAAAGT